GCTTTTCATTTTTAAAGAACAACGTCGTTTCCACGTTTACAATTTTCAGCGAATCAACTGATATTTACATTCATTCTTAAAATAAGAATAATTTCAGAAATTTCCATCGATTATCGTCCATCAGCTTCCCATTTCCAGACAACAACGTCGTTACCTCCTTGTTTCAGCGCGCATCGTACTGACAGCGAGGCAGAATCCGTTCCGTCTCGCGATCACGACGATACAACTCGACATTCCCGAACCTCGCGGCCTACTTTGCTCCGCGCCGCGGAAACTACCGCGAAACTAATTCCGCGCCGCGAGACACGAGTCGATATTAATGGCGGGTGGTTACGCGTGAACTGTGAACTCGAGTTAACGTGCCTGATCGGGAACGTTTCCAGCAATACCGACGGCATTCCCGCTTATAAATTCGATCAACAGATGCGCGCTGCTCGAGGAACAGACGACGACGCGACGCGACGCGGCAGCGGTTACCACCGTGTATTCGACTTGCCACAGTAGATTCAATCGTGACTAATCAAACGAACGGATAGTTGGGTAAGACAGCTTTAAGGTTCCCCGTTTAATGCGGTGCCGAATTTCTTGAATGCGTCTCGTGTATCGAGTAACTTCACTCCTTGCCCTATGATTACTTTCTGATCTGTGACTTATTTAATTACTCTGTTATTAACCGTTTGAGTGCTGAGGAGCGCCATAGCGCTCTTCTTGTGTTGTGCCAAAATTGCGGAGAGTTTATCAGTATCAATTATAATTTTCTTACTATGTTTTTCAAGAAATCAAAGTAAATTTATTTTTCTGTAATAACACAATATTCGTGGTCTCATAAGTACTCTTATTAATTTTTTTGTATACGCACCATGGTAAATATCTACAAAAGTTGTTTAGCATCCAAACGGTTAACCCTTAGCACTCCAGATTGTTTTGTAATTTAACAACTGCAACTAATTTTTATAGTATTCCTGACGAAAATGAGAAATACTGTAACATTTCTTCAATCTTTTATTCTCCTTCTCAGTACAAAATTTGGATGTGTGGAAAATCTAATAATTTAGGGTATTCTAGGTCAACAGCTCTAACAATTCTTGATAACAGGAATAATATGTAATTTGTATTCAAACGAATTGAATAATATTTATGTATATTAAATACTGTTTGAAATCATTACGAGTCTGATATTATAAGATAAGGGGTTAAGGCTATTGATCGATGAATCTGCGTGTAAAACTCACTGGAAAATAAAGATCCAGATGTATCCTGTTCTCCGCGTGTAAAATTGCTGTCGCTCGCGTGATTTTGCCCATACAAACGGAACAAGTGAAAAATGTCAAATAAAATGTTCCTTAAACGAAGCCTGTTTTCCAATAAACTCGAGATTGGTCGGTTGCAGAGTAGAACGGGTTACTTTCCGTGAAAATACTAATGAAAAAACGTGGAATAAAATTGTTTCATTTCTGGCCTTGTTTTCGGGAACATTAGAGTATGAACATGTTCTGCTGGCAGTTAGCCAAATATAGTTGAGCTCGATAAAGTTTCAAGACGGTCTTTTTACGAGGGAAAGGTTTCAGACGAAGAAATTCGCCCTGTATTAAGTATCTTTGCGACGCGTATTTACTATTAGGGAAAAAAGTCGAGAGGTAGATCGTGGTACTTCAAATGCATTAATTAATTATCTAATTATTTAGATGACTCCTGTAGTTTTTTCCCCGAGTGCTGCATGTTCTCCCGGTTGCTGTGGTTTTCTCGTGCGGATGCGGTACCCAGTTTAAGTGCGTTGAATTATTTCGGCTTCATTTAATTCTTGCGTGCCGCCGAATGAATATTTCGAATTTTAATCGCGTCCTTATTCAACGGAGTTAAATAAATGACGAATAACAGACCGGAATGCTTAACTGTACAACAAACGTACACCGATTTCGACGTTACGCTCTGCAATGCATTAATTAGCCCGGTTCCGATGCGAGCCTTTTAAAAGTCCGATTTGAAATCAATTAAAATTATTCGAGCCACCTATCGAAGAAGATGTTCCGCGGGATTCGTTCCGAATGGTTACATCCGAAGCGCAACAAGCGCGCACTCGGAATCATAAATATCACGGCATACGGTGCACACGGTAAAACCATAATATTTCGTAAATATCGCACGCCCCCGCGTGTTTGTTATCCGCCGCTACTCCAATTATCGTTCCGCGGCTTAAATTCGCCCTACATTCTCGATCACTTGAAAAGTTCGTTTGCGCAGTTACACGGCTTGCGTTACAGCGAGTCGTACAAGGAAAGAGCGGATCGTTCTGTTTGATAACCCAACTCGGGAAAGAACATTCGAACGTCGTTCGAGTGTTCGTTTCCGAGGCAAGAGAATTCGAAAAAACACCGCCGGCACCGTTAGGAACTTTCGCGATTACAATATTTTATCGAACAGGTACAAGGGGATATAATATTTCGCAAACCGACGCACAGTTCTCGCGAAACACAAAGTCTCAGGAAAAAATCCCAGCTTCGACGTTACGACTTCGAACGCGAGCTACGAAAGTAATTGCAATCCTCTTCCCTTCACACGAAATAAAACCCGATAACTGCCGCGAATACGTGAAACGCGAGCTAGACTCGTTCATTTCGAAGACACTCCGACCACTTGTCCGATACTTCTGTCGCATAGCTCTAACAGGTAAACGTCGTTCGGTATAATTACCCTTGTTTCCGCTTCGCGTTAACACTAAAACTCCCAGACGGGTCCAAACGACCCGTTCCTGGCTTCTGTTCGCAATTATTGAAAAGATAACAGCTGTTTCTCCGAGCAGTTATTAAAGGAATTGATTTGGCAGCGCGCAGATTGAATTCTAAACCAATTAAACTCTCAATAGATGCTAGTTAGAGTCTCCGCGGAGGAATTCCGAAAGGTCAACTTAACTACTCCGTAGTTTCAGTGCTAAATAAGTCCTGATCGGTTCGATCGAATATTCCTCAGTCGTTTAAAACGCGTTCTACTAAATGCTTTGTAGGAAAGAAAAACCGAAACGATGGGGATTCGGAGGATGTATTTTGGGGAACGCGGAAGAAGTGACAGTCTACGGTTTCTCAATCTAATCTTTCAATTTCTAAATGTACAATGAATATACCGGTTGGTCGGTGTACAATATATCTCTCCGCCAGTGGCGGGGAGTGACGGACGCGTGGATAGGATTCCCAAAAATTGGGAAAGCCCTACTTCCCCAGCGATCCGTCGGTTGGTTCCGTCAGCCGGAGACCCGGAAATTTCTAACGACCGTAGCAGCAATAGCCCCAAGGATCGCCTCGACTTTAAATTACATGCAGGTATAAAATTCGTAGCTATTGCCTACCTTGGGCTCAATCCACGATTAACTAAAAACAAGCAATGGGTCCCTGGGCTTTATTGCTGCTAGGATAGGCTCGCAAAAGGGTTTTTTATATCCAAATGCCTACAGTTTATTCAATTCTGGTTCAAGAACAGAATTCCCAACCAACAGCATTTGAACCTTGTCTCCTAAAAAAACACACCACGAGAGAATTCTCGCCGAACCCGTACCGTGTAACGTATCCAAATGTGCCAACACTCTAGGCACATTCGCGGCGCGTCCTTGTAATCGCTTCGATTAACAGCAACGGGATCACCGAGCGGTGAACAGGAAGATTCGGATACGTCGACGGGTCGAGCTTCATTAACGAACAAAAGCTCTGTCAGGGGATTTTCAGTTACACTGATTGCTGGATTGCGTACTCTAAGCCAGCGTACTCTTGCTTGAATGTGTGCGTGCAGAGAGGGCAGATGTTCGTCGCCGTTTCTGCTTACAGATATCAAAGTCAGCGATCGCGGCGGGATCCCGCCGCGAGCGGCGTGCAGGAAATAACGCGAATGGACACGGCGCAGAGGCGATGCACTTGAAAAGCCCGGGAACGGGGCGAACGGGAGTAAGGGAAATGACCGTGGCTGGATTCTACAAAGAACCCGTCGGCTCGCAGTTCCCGGAAATAATTCCGGGCCGGAAAAAGCCCACTTCGCCGCCAGAAGGATGTTGTGGTTATTAATTTTTCGGCGGCACGTGAAAACGAGCGTATAGTTTCATTTCCCTTGTCCTGCGAACTTGCTCCCGGACTCCGAGAGCTGGCCTGAATAAGTATTTACCGGGGAACTGAGTTTTCCGGGAAGCGAGTTCGCGCGACGCGATTTTCCATCGATGCTGGAGATGATCTTTGATTTGTCGGAAGCCGTTGCGCACTTGAAAAACCAGTTCTGTGGAATCGTTCGAATACATTCTCGTACTTTTTGATTTATTCTGCGTACAAAGTTTTCAAGTGCACTGCCTGTTAACCCTTGGCACTCCAGATGGTTTTGTAATCTATCAGCAACTAATTTTTATAGTATCCATAGCGAAAATGGAAAATGCTGTAATATTTAGGTCCTTTATTTTCCTGTTTAGTACTGAATTTGGATGTGTGGAGAATGGAATAATTATGGGGTAGTTTCTTAAGATTCATTGAAATATTTAATATTATAACTGGTGCAATACTGGAGCCTACAGAGTTCAAAGATTAATAATTTATTGAAAATAAGAGAAAATTCTAGTCTTATTCTAGGTCAACGTATGCTCTAACAATCCTTGATAACAGGAATAATTTCTTTAAGATTCCTTGAAATATCTAATATTATTGCTAGTGCAATACTGGAGCCTACAGAGTTCAAAGGGTCAACCCTTTGCGGACGAATGTAGACATTTCGGAGATGAAGTGTTCATACTTAGAAGACTAAGTCGCAAATTATGTCATAATTAGTCTGACAGTAAGAGATCGGCTCGTAGTTTCCTTTTTTCCTATTAATTGATATTTAATTTAACTCTGTACACTTCAAAGTATCTTCGTCCGCAAAAGGGTTGATCTACAACGAAACGTCTTCGATCCTCGCGGAGGTTGTCCTTGTTGCTTTAGCTTTATGTGTCGAAATGTGACAGAAACTGTAATTAGGGCAGTATGTAATGAACTTACGGAACTGAATCCCATGACTTTGAGTAGCCAGACGGTGAGAGCCAGGTTTAGGATCACGATGATCATCAGAGTCAACACTAACGAGTACAGACACCTTTTCCGCCAGCCGTAGACGCCTAACCTGAATCCACCTTTGCAGGTCGCGGAGCCGGATGTCCGGTCTTCGAGGATTGGGGGTGTCGTCCTGGAGGACGGTCCCGCTGACTGTCGCACGATATTTCGGGCACCGGCCGAGGTGCACGGCTCGTCGGACCAACCTCCTTGGCCTCTGGTCATCCTGAAATCGTGAATAAATCAAGATGAGAAACAGATCTCAGCATTGCGATCGATGTTTTAATCACTTCGAAGCTCGAGGTACACTGTATTGTACAAATTATGTACTATCATGTAAGTTCCAACTGTTAACACATTGCATAGTGGTAACGAGAAATCTCTCATGTAAATACACTTAGCCGTGTAACTTCGCTAATTACAGCATTTAAAAGAATATTAGGACAAACATTAGTTCAATGAATTTGGGGAGGTTTTTCAATTAATAATGCTACCTTAAATCGATTTTATTCATTTCATTTTATTTTACCAATAATTATTTTATTAATAGTAATTTTACATTTATTTTTTTTATATATTAGAGTTGTTGCGAACTGATTATTTATTTGGAATATATTATACAATATGATACTTGAGGTTATCTGTAGACAGTGATATAAGTTGATCTCACTGAAAATTAGCCGGTAACGTGTTAAGGAGATAATTAGAGAGAGTAACGATAGAAAATGATTTTACGTAAAGTAGATATACTTTGAAGTAACGAGTGTCTCTGGTTAATTTGACGATTGAATGAATTACATATGTAACTCGTGGATTTGTTTTTCATTTAATGATGCACGCGTTGGACTGTACGGTGTGCTCGCATGTTCCACAGTGCAAATATTAAGTAAAATAAATATTGATCGACGCGGATAAATTACGGTAAGCGGTTTATCTCATTAAAGTGTTGGCGTAATCTCATTTCACAGCATACAAATGCTCCGATCTCGTGAACAGAGTGTCCGCGGGGACAAGGTCTGGACATTAAGGAATGATGTACGCACGGAAAATACTGCGAAGTACAATTGCCGGCAATTAATAATCCCGTAATTACGGTATCTCCCTGGGCTGGCGATTTATACCTAATTCTTGCACGCCGGCTGTACGGAATTGTTCGTGGAAGAAAGAATACGTCAGGTAAGACCGATCTCCTTTTTTTAGCAGGCGCAACAGTCTCGAAACAGCTCGCTTGATACGTGCTCCGCGTTCAAAAGTCTAGTCGCTGAGTTTATACCGGCGTGGCACGACGAAGATACACAACGACGAGAAAAAATGGAAAATCAGTTTCTCGGTGAACAGAGCTGATAGGTAAGTCTTCGATGCCGTAATTATTTACGGTGTAAATTTAATCTTTTACGATAAATAAGTAACACCGAACAATTTCTATACGGAGACATGAATCAGTAAGTAATTAGACGAAAGAACAGTCATCAATTATTGAATAACTCGTTAGGAAACATTTTCAGAAACATGCTGTAAATCAATAGAAATAATATATCGATCGATTACTCTTAATCCGCGATTCAAACATTCGTTCCTCCCAAAGCAACATTTCCTCGAACACAACATTGAAAACTCGACGTCAAACAGTCCCCGACACAGACCGACAGAGAGCCCGAGCTAAAAATCCCTCTCCTCATCTATTTCTCATCGAGAAATTAATAGATCACCAACCGACGCGGCAAAAAGGAAACGATTAGAACCGTAAGAGGTCAGAGAGGAGCAAAAGGCACGAGGATGAGGGATGAAACGAATCCAGAATCAGCGAGGCAAATAGAGGACGATGAAATGTCCGCGCGGAGAATGTTGGAAGAGGGAAGATGGGAGGGGGCAAAACCGGAGGATTATCAAATGGCGGATAATTATCGACCGTACGGGGCGCACACATGAAAAATGGACGAACAAGGTGACGCGGGCCGAGGGGAGGTGGGACGATTAAAGGAGCGACGCGACGCGACGCGACGCGGCGCGGCGTTGCGTGGCGCCGGGGAAAAGCGGTCCGGAAAGAAATGCAAAATACCAGACGTAACTTTGCGTCCTAATCTCTAGCCGGTTACGCCAGTTACTCGAACCTCGGGATCGCCTTTTGCTTACGCTACCGCGGTGCTTTACCATCTCTCCGTTTTTCGCCCGGAATGCACTGTTTCTCCGCGCTTTTTATTTTCTCTCCGAGCAAACCGTCCGTGAGCGGGGACAGAGGTTGTAGCGAAAGGGGTGCAAAAGTGGAGGGAAAGTGGGAGGAAGAGAGGAAGAGGTGGAAAGGAGGAGAGCGCTGGCTAAAATATTCAATGCTACCTCTCTGCCTTCTTGCGGATAATTATACCTCTCGCAGATATAAAGAGCTCGGTCGCTCGAAATTAAAAGCTCCGAAGATAAGCCACCGCGCGCGGGTAGGGGACACCGCTGCCTTGCTTTTCAGGACTAGGAAGTGCACGATTTTCAGGGACTGCGACAGAGAGGTCGGCGCGGGAAGGGGAGGGATGTTAGCGGTTAGGTACCGGGTTAGGAACCCGCCGCAGCTGCACGCCTCATCGAAGATTGTATTTAACGGAGGTCTTTAATCCGGACGGCTTTTTCAGATTCCAGCCCGATTTTCGATATTAATTTCTGCCGCCTGTCCGACCCCGTGGGAACGGCTTCAGAGGGCTGCCGCGAAGACGCGGCGTCGGGGATATTTCGTACTTATCGGGGAATATTTTCCGTTGCGGCGACGCCGGCGAGGATAATGAATTATTAGGTCGAGCGGTTTCTGTTTTCAGCCGGAAGCTGTTCGGTATTGCTACGGTTTGCTTGGTTATTGGCTGTTTCTTTTCGCTTCGTTTTCTTTCGCTCTGACCGGTTGACTGTGTTCGACGAGTGTACACGTCGTCTTGAGATTTGGAACGATGCTAATTCTTTTAACGATGAATTCTTTACTTTTTGAGATGAACGTGTAATTCGTTTGCTTTGGTTTTTCAACACGTTCCGTGCCACGGAAACTTAGGGTATATTTTGCTTATGAACTGTATTGAGTTTTTCAATAAAATAATAAGTTATATTCAAGTTTCTGGTCACTTTTATATATTTTGATATTGTTTCTTTATGGTTTCACTGCTTTGTAACGTATACCGTGACCATATATCCATTAAAAATAGTTTCTTACATTGGCGTGTACCACATGTGGTACACGTGGCACGGAACGTGTTAAAATATACACCAGTTGCATTTGCCCCGCGTTTGACAAGTACACACTTCATTTTTCAATTTTATCGGGCGCTAAACAAAAGATTTCTGAAACTAAATTTGGATTGAGGCTGGTAAAGCTGTTATTGGATATTTGAGGAAATATCTTGAAGCTGTCTTATCGGAGATTCAAAGAAATTTCTTGAAGACGTGTTATCGAATATTTAGGGAAATAGGTTGAAGCTATATTATTCGAGGAAGGAGAATATAAATTTCACTTTAATTTTCGACGTGACGGAAGAACTATTTTGAGAATTGAAATCTGAAATTAACGAATTCCTTGAAAGCTGTTCGACCTGATTCTTCCCGGGAATCTAGCTATCGTTAAATCGCTGAAACCAATGTAGCACTGTACCTGGGTCAGTTGCATCTTTAACGACCCAGTGATCGATACCTCGAGCAGTTTCTGCTGCTCTCTGTCCATTTTGAACGAATTGCGCACGGATTTGCATCTTTTCCATCGCTGCGACGTCGAGCTGCATAACGAACGAATGCAGAAAACAAAAGTGCTAACCAGTATAGAATGCCGCGATGTTCATACTTTAACCCTTTGCGGACGAATGTCGACGCTTTGCCGAGATCTAACTTTCATGTTTGTAATATTAAGTTGCAAATGATTCAAATACACTAAGAAACCAGTACATAATTTCCTTATCTATATTATCTAGGCATTCAATGTGTGATTTGGTAGAATCTACAAAAGGTTTTGTATACTTTAGAGAATCTTCGTCCGCAAAGGGTTAAAACGCGGCGTACGTAGCTAATAATATTGTACTACCTATACAAAACACAATTTAGAATTCGAATATTTCAAACATTTATTCATTATATTTGTTTCGTGTCCGCCAAACGTTCACGTGTATCAGCGGAATCTCCATGGCGGTTATTGTAAATAACAAACGAAACATTCGTATAAGACTAAAACAATAAATACTACACCATCGAATACCATGATTTACTCGCTCGACAACTGAGCACGACAGCGATAAAGAAGACGAGAATGACATAATCCGAGGCATAAAGTGCTAACGCATTCGCGGGTAAACAAGATTCGGCAAACGTTGCGCGCGCTATTCTCCGCGTTCATCGGGGGAAGAGCCGCGGATGTTTAGGATTAGATTGAACATGTTGAATGCGAGCGACGCGCGTGACGGACAGGCGAAAGGAAGCGGGAACGGAACGGTAGCGCGATGGGCTCGGCTTCAAGAGGCAATTACAACGCGGATATATTTCCCGCGGTCGTAAATAGCGCGAGACATATGTTAAACGGTCGCCGGGAAGTTTTGACGTAACGCGAAGTTGCCACGGCCACCGTAATTCCACCGTTTCAACCCCAAAGAGCATTACAAGTTGCGAAATTATCACTGCACTAACGTACGGCCCCGCCGCGCGCTCTTTTTTCTCGTAACGGTCTGCGGCCGACCGCCGTGACGCAACTTCCCTGACAAATGGCCGGCTGTCCAAAACGAATGAAACGAGTATCGTGTTTACGCGAGAATTATTATGGAGCTGCGGACCTCGAACGCGCAGCCCGCCGAAGAGTGTTCCCCGAATTGAATTTCCGAGCGTCTTGTAATCCGTTTACTTACGCATCAACGAATTAAAGCTGTCCGGTGAACTTTCCCCCGCGGTTTTTGGGAAACTTCATTTTCCCGGGCGGCGAATGTTACTCGGTCCTTAATAATTCGCCGGGAATGGAATTAAGTAATCAGGGTAATTTCATTAATGAAATGAATAGAGACGTTTAGGCAAGTTCCCCCGGAAAAACTTGCGCGGACGGCGAGCCGCGACGTTGAAATTGTCCTGCAGGAACGAGTTCGCGGCGAAGCGGGCAGGATGAAAATAAATTAAACCCACAAAAACATAAACCCGTTTTAATGAGGGAATTTACCGAATCAAGACGCCCCGTTTATGAAGAATTAAGTAGCGACCGTTTACCAGAACCCTGCATGGCCGGCTTCGCTC